CCAGGACCCTGCTGAAAATCAGGGAGGCACCAGACCTCTAGAAGAAAGTCATGACAGCTTTTCATGCTGCAAACTTGTAAATGCTGCACATCTTGATCTGCAAGTAAAAATCCCAAACTATTTGTATTTACCCTTGAACAACTTCAAAGTGATTGCTGAGAGAACATCACTCCCATGGTGACAGCTGTATTAGTGCTAAAGTCAGCTTCTCAACAGAGGCAATCGTGGCTTACTGCTCAACACATCTCTGGACTCCCAGGTTTATTTCTTTTTACTTCCTAGAAGCTGCAATGAGTCACGGTTACGATCAGTACCTGTAACTCAAGCTACTACAGTGGTAGATCATGACAGAATGTATCAGGGAGCACTAGAACTGAGAGGTAAATTAGGGCATGGAGGGGGATGCTCCATTTGGGAGGAGGAGAGAAACAAGGGAAAGCGTGAAATTCTGCACTGAAAAAGTAGGGAATGCGGCAGGGAGTGGTTGATGGCCTGAGGCTGGGATCCGATGCAGAAGTGCAGGGCCAGCGAACTGAGGCACACCTCTGCATGACCTGACACAAGTGGGAGCTGCTGCTGCTCTTCATCTCTTGCCATTAAAGACAGCCTTTGCCTGCAGTTTTACTCATGGCAATTTCTGGAGAAATTAAGCTTAGGGTTGCTGTTGGTTTCCACTACTGAGCTTTTCTTACAAAGTTAAATTGGCTAAGAATATTAAAAACACTAGCTGTCATAGCTGTGCCAGCAAGCCTGATGGTACAAACATAACGGTGTGGAGAAAGAAGTGCTTAATGCAATCTTAAGAAGTGATGCATACTTCGTAATTATCTGAGGATGACCTCATGATGCTACTACTCGGGCATTAAGAACGGTTACAAGATAACGTCATTGCAGTGCCATCTGGTGACAAATTCTGGAATTGTCACTAGAACTTTAATAAAGTAGATCAAGTGAAAATAAAGATGTAAAACCTACAATAAAATTATATCTCTGGTCCCAGATGAACAGGATGACTTGGATTTTCTATTTTTAAACCTGGTGGGGAGGCCTCCTTTCTCTATTCTCCTCAACATTAGCATAATTCAACAAGATACATTCATTGTTTTTACATGGAGAGAAATGTATGTGAATCACATATATCAAATAATCTGTAAAACCTAACCTAATATGGTTAGTAGTCACCTGTATGCATGCCATATTGATGGATTTTTTGTGTGAATGAAAACCAGTATTTCAGAATTACCCAAGTATGAGAACTCATTATTTAAAACAACACTGGTCTCAAGGGAACAAGGACTGAAAAATATATGAAAATGTATTTGTCTGTGAAAATGTACTTGTCAGATGGACATTTAGGCTCGACAAAAGTTACTTAACTTTTCCAAAGCTACTTTCCCCACTAATATAACCAATGCATACAATGCACCTCATTTTGAATATTTTTCAGCGTACTGTCTTTGCCTATTCTGTAGAAGAGTGACAGTTAACTACTAAGGCAAGCGGGAAGTTAAAGCCCTAAGGAAGCATTCCCCAAATATGTTCAGCCCTTAATTTATCTTTACACAATCATTTGTGTGCTGTCAGCACATCAGGCAGTAGACCTTCCTGACAGATGGTCCCTGGGATTAGGTTGGGAAGAAGAAGCAGTTTGTGTGGAACAAAGTTTGTGTGGAACAGTTAAAGTGACTGGGAGAGACCCAGAAGGGGTCTAGCTCCGAAAGTAG